GGTTAGAGCCAGAAGTGAAGTGAAGGGAAAAAAATATATTTTCAGTTAGGATGTAAAAAAAAAATAAAAAATTTTAAGTCGCTGGTTGTTGTCGAGGTGTTTAACCCCCCTACAGTTGGGGGAGGGGTACTACAACTGTATTTACTGCTGCAGGTCAACGTTGTTGTTGCTGCTGCGCAAACCTGACCTGTTTATAGTGATGACGGAGGTCTGCTGGATATATGTGTATGTGTTAGTGTATATATATGTCTATGTGTTAGTATATATATGTGTATGTGTTAGTATATATATGTGTATGTGTTAGTATATATATGTGTATGTGTTAGTATATATGTGTATGTGTTTGTATATACGTGTATGTGTTAGTATATGTATGTGTATGTATTAGTTTATATGTGTATGTGTTTATATATGTATGTGTTAGTATATATGTGTATGTGTTTGTATATACGTGTATGTGTTAGTATATGTATGTGTATGTATTAGTGTATATGTGTATGTGTTTATATATGTATGTGTTAGTATATATGTGTATGTGTTTGTATATATGTGTATGTGTTAGTATATATGTGTATGTGTTTGTATATACGTGTATGTGTTAGTATATGTATGTGTATGTATTAGTGTATATGTGTATGTGTTTATATATGTATGTGTTAGTATATATGTGTATGTGTTTGTATATACGTGTATGTGTTAGTATATGTATGTGTATGTATTAGTGTATATGTGTATGTGTTTATATATGTATGTGTTAGTATATATGTGTATGTGTTTGTATATACGTGTATGTGTTAGTATATGTATGTGTATGTATTAGTTTATATGTGTATGTGTTTATATATGTATGTGTTAGTATATATGTGTATGTGTTTGTATATACGTGTATGTGTTAGTATATGTATGTGTATGTATTAGTGTATATGTGTATGTGTTTATATATGTATGTGTTAGTATATATGTGTATGTGTTTGTATATACGTGTATGTGTTAGTATATGTATGTGTATGTATTAGTTTATATGTGTATGTGTTTATATATGTATGTGTTAGTATATATGTGTATGTGTTTGTATATACGTGTATGTGTTAGTATATGTATGTGTATGTATTAGTGTATATGTGTATGTGTTTATATATGTATGTGTTAGTATATATGTGTATGTGTTTGTATATATCTGTATGTGTTAGTATATATATATGTGTATGTGTTAGTATATATGTGTATGTGTTAGTATATATATGTGTATGTGTTAGTATATATGTGTATGTGTTTGTATATATGTGTATGTGTTAGTATATATGTGTATGTGTTTGTATATATGTGTATGTGTTAGTATATATATGTGTATGTGTTAGTATATATGTGTATGTGTTTGTATATACGTGTATGTGTTAGTATATGTATGTGTATGTATTAGTGTATATGTGTATGTGTTTATATATGTATGTGTTAGTATATATGTGTATGTGTTTGTATATACGTGTATGTGTTAGTATATGTATGTGTATGTATTAGTGTATATGTGTATGTGTTTATATATGTATGTGTTAGTATATATGTGTATGTGTTTGTATATATGTGTATGTGTTAGTATATATGTGTATGTGTTTGTATATACGTGTATGTGTTAGTATATGTATGTGTATGTATTAGTGTATATGTGTATGTGTTTATATATGTATGTGTTAGTATATATGTGTATGTGTTTGTATATATCTGTATGTGTTAGTATATATATATGTGTATGTGTTAGTATATATGTGTATGTGTTTGTATATATCTGTATGTGTTAGTATATATATATGTGTATGTGTTAGTATATATGTGTATGTGTTTGTATATACGTGTATGTGTTAGTATATGTATGTGTATGTATTAGTGTATATGTGTATGTGTTTATATATGTATGTGTTAGTATATATGTGTATGTGTTTGTATATATCTGTTTAATAGGGCGAATGTTTGTGTATGTGTTTGTATATATGTGTATGTGTGTATATGTGTATGTGTGTATATATGTATATATGTGTATATATGTATATATATGTGTATATATGTATATATGTGTGTATATATGT